TATATATATATATATATATATATATAATAATTATACCGTTAATTAAAACTTCTTTTTTATTTTCAGTAAGACGTACGTTGCGGAATGGACTAACTGATGAAGATAAAAAACACTTAGCATCTTTCATAAAAGGATACTGAACTGTGATATACATGACATCGAATTTTATGACTGATAAATAATATATGTACTTGTAATTTCTTTATTGTTTTCCTATTGAATCAATTTTTTATAGTTAAAATAACAGTCTCAATTTTATTTTTACTGCTGTTTTGTTTCACTGTATATAATCAATCAAGCATTACAATATGACAACATTATCATTTATTTAAATTATTGCTTAACAGTTATGTTGAATATAAATGTATTTATTGAATAGTTTTGTGATTTTTAAGCTAAATAAATGTTATTTAAATCAATGTATACTTATTTTTAAATCATGCTTTATAATGTATTGTCACATTTCCATTGTACAGTTTTATCGAACGCTGTCAGTAGTGGATACTTACCATAACCACACACATTACGGAAATCATCTAAATCTAATGCCCAAAACATTGCTCCTGCTAGTTTCAAATCCAAAATATATTGTGCCTATTAATCACCATTATAAATTAATAATATATACTTCAATTGACAATTAAAATTATTAATATTACACATTTAATATTATTAAAAATACTTAACATTCGCATTAGAGGGGCGCCACTATTTGTTATTTGTATATAGGTGTTCATTAATTAAGGAAACGTGTTTTTATTGTTCTTATTTGTAACAATTTACTTGTATCCTTACTTACTGAACACTCTGTATACAATTCTTAATTCTATAAATTATTTTCTACTAATGTATTTACATAATTATGATTTCTATGTTACGTAACTAATGTGTGATTAGCAATAAATATACTATGAGAAGAAAAACATTTAAAAAAAGTGATGATACGTGTTTTTAGAGGTTTTTATTGCTTAGATAAAACGTATTGTTGGTTGATCTATTTACAAAATTTACCTTTCTTTTGATGTTTGAAACGTTGTCATAACCGACCCAATCCAATTGCTTGTATGCATATGAACCCAAATCTTTCAAAAAAACTTCATTCCAATTATTTTTTTTTAAGTATAAACATATCTAAATAAAGTTAGTAAGAAATTTTATTCAAAATAATTGAAATTATTAATTTTAAAAAAAACCTCCATGAATGAGAGAATTCCTGCTTCTTTTGTAAATTGTCCAAGAATCGGTGCTCCGCTTGCAGGAGCGTTCAAACCGTTTTGATTTTTTAAATCTAGTTTAAATGACTTTCCATATAAAGGTATACCCAAAACAAGTTTGTTGTGTTTAGCTCCATGATTAATCCAAAGCTCTACCGATGATTGCTATACATAAAAAATGATTAGCTAGTTGGAAATTGATTTCCTAATTTAAATTGTTATTTATAATATGTTGAATTAGATGAATATAAACTTTACTCTACAAATAATAAAATGTATTCAACTGTTATTAAGTTTGCAGTGCTAATTTATAAAAAAAACTTCTAATTATTCTAAAGTTTGTCATTAAGTTACTAAATGTTATTAAATACGTTATTAATACTTAGTCGTATTTAATATAGCAAATGTACGAAATGTTACAACAAATCTCACCACACTATATGCTGTTTTTTCATCCGGCTGGTTATTAAACGGCGCTACTAATCCTGTTTTTTTATCATTATAACTATAGTAATCATATGCCATTATTCCTATCCAATCAGCATATTCATTTAGTGTTTTCACATCGTACGCTACGTCTATAACTTTCTGATTAGGTGATACAGCTACTGTTAACATTAAGCCATGTTTTTTAAATTCAGATTTCATAGTCTTTACCAAGTATGCGAACGATTCTTTTTCTCCACTGGTCGCATCACATTCCATCTATAGCAAATCATTTTTTTTTTAGTTGTGTTATTTGTTTTTTAAATTTGAGTTTATTTACCTGCCAACAACTCGGATATTCCATGTCCAAATCCAATCCATCAAACGAATGTTCTGTTAAAAACGTGATCGAATTTTGAACGAACTGGTCGATAACATCGTGGCTGCTGAATAATGGCTGGATTAAGTTTTTCTCGGAATAAGTCCATCCACCTACTGCTAACAACACTTTTTTGTTGTACTTCTTGCAGCTTGTAAGAATCGGAACGAATCCTGAAATTTATTAACGGAGTGTATATAAAGATTACCATATCAGACTTATTTGTTAAATACTTGTACGTTAAAAATGCATAGCATTCAAACATTTTATCACTATTAAAAATTAATTAATACAAAACATTAAAAATGATTGAAAAATCATAACTTTTATCTTTATACCTTGACCTATATCAACTATCTCCAGGGTATTTTTTTCGATATTGTATTTAGCAAAAGAGTAAATCAAGTGGGTGCACTTAGTGTCGCAAACATTAATTTCACTAACATTGTACGAACCGTAACCAGGTCTATAAATCGACCAATCTGTAAAATAGCAGGCTGATATAACCTGGCTACTGTAACCTGTTTCGAAAATAAAATATTTTAATACATATTTAATAATAAAAAAATTATTGCTTGTCAATTATTGATTGAAAAATTATACATTACCAACTGGCACATAGAACACTAAACATATTAAAACAAACTTGGAGAAAAAAAGCATAATTAGTTTTAATTTTAATTTAAAATTATACAACAAGTGTGCACAATTATTGAAATAAACTAAAATTTATTATTACAGTATCAAAAAGATAAATTTACGATTTTAGCTTAATATTTACACAGCTGTCGATCATATTTTGTTTTTAACAATATACACATGTTATTTTTTAAATTATATTTTTTAATATATTGTTAATGTAACAATTCCAACGATAAATCAAACATATCAATTTTTACCAAAAAAAAAAAAAAAATCAACACAACTTTTTTCGTAACTATATAATTTCATACAGTTCCCGTGTTGAAATTTTACTGTAACTTTTACCTTTTAGTTTATAAATTATAAAATTAGATTCGTAGCAATATTTAAAAATATATTACTTAATAAAAAAATCATTATAAATTAATTTATATATTATATGAAATTGACTATAACATTAAATTTTTGTGAATTAAATTAACGACATTATTATGGCAATAGTTTTTACTTAGATGCCACCTTCCGAGATTTCCATAAAAATTATCTTGTTGGTATTTTTGTATTTTGTAATAGTGCAAGATAATTATAGAAAATAAATGTTCTGTCAAAACGATTCTCAAAAATAATAAAATTGACTTATTACATTTGTTTACAAAACAAAATTTTGTCATCATTACAGTTAAGTATCTTTCTAAACTAATAATGTATACAGATTTCCAAAGTATAATTAAATTTTTTCCAATACTCGTTATTGAAATAATTGTTAATTTTTAAAAATGTAATATTTTAAAAATATATGAACAATAAAAATAAAAAAAAAATATTGTTCGAATAATTATTATACTCTGTACTCATAATATTATAATTGATTTTTACATCATTTTTAACCAACTTTCTTAGTATTTGAGTAAGATTTGGTCATTCATAAAGAAAATAAACCGATCTATTTCCATTATTTTAAATTTTAATACAATATTTAAATAGTATGAATTAGTTTTTTTAATAAAAATTTTTACCGACACATTATAAACGTTGATAGTAAAATTATATTAAAAGCTTTATAATTCATGGTAATTATTTTTTTTTTTATAAATATTCCGTAATAAATTAATTTTAAAAATGTTATAAGTTTTCAACTTTTATAATGGCAGCATATTTGAAGTTGTTAGATGTCAATTATTAAAATTATTTTTTTATAAATGCCATTTTCAATAATAGTTTAATACTGTAAATTTATGCATTAACCTTCGTCGTGTGGTATGCTGATGCTGCAATTTAAATGAACAATGCAATAGATCTGAGTCAATTTATGCGTAATTAATTTTAATTAATTGTTACTATTATGAATTAGCAATTTTTTATTTCATCTTACATATGCATAATTAATAGATTATTACCAATTGTATTCTAAGAATTTCAATTACTTCCCAATGGTAAATATTTGATAAATATTTTCTAGGTAATACAATGTAAGAACGAACGTAGAGATTTATCTTATCTATGCCACGCGCTATAATATTTTAGGTGTCTTACAAAGAAAATTATACAGAATGTTCAATTAGTTGAAAACGTCATTAATTTTTTGCTTAGATATCTACTCTTCTAAAATAAGGCTATATTTAACAGAGGAAATAGTACGTTTAATTAATTTATTTATTATCTTCTAGGAAAGCAGTGGCGTAGTCAGATTTTTAGAATGGGGGCAAATACCTCCACATATAATCAGAAACTGAAGGATTGCGTTACCAAAAACACGGGGGATACAACAATCAAGTTTAAATTATTAACAAAAAGGAATATTCTCTTTTTAGCTGTGTTTATATCACAATAGCTTTTAAAATATTTTCCGATAGAGCTACTTTTGTACTTGGAAGGTAGTAAACAACAAAGTTAACACACATTATGACTAAATTATTTCTGTGTAAGATATATCTTTTAATATATCTTTGTTATAATAACTGTGATTGTGTAAATCTCCCCATATTTATAAAATCCTAAGCATATCACTAATTTTAATCTAGTTTAGTTTGATATGAATTGAATGTTGAGGTAATTTTTAAAAAATTATTCTAATTAGCTTATAAAACAAATTGATCTTGTAACGTAAAAACATTTTAAAATTTCTTAAGGCTTGGTTTTGTAGAGTTATATTGGGAAAATAAACGTTTTAATTTTTAACAATCATTATTAGTTAAGTGAAATTAATCGGATAATTTTATTGGCAAAGTGGATTCGTTTCCACTTTAGATTATGCTGGTGATAACATATAAATCGCTAGTGATACGCTGTACACCTACTCGAGACCTCAATCTTACAAATTTTTAATTAAGTAATGATGTACGCTGTTCAAGCCATGTCTTGTCTCTGCTAACATCTACCATATGTTACTAATATTATTTCACTAACGATAAATAACTGCGTTGAATTTGATTAACTTTTAAACACAAGTAAAATGTTTGCATCGGTGTGTTTTATGCACAAGACATTATGGTATCGCTATCATATTAGTTGCGTCTGCCGCGATTTACTGATATCAATTTAATATAGTCGGACCGTTATCTCGAATGAACTGTCTATTCACAATTGTGCATAAATTGCCATAATATACAAATAACATAATGAAAATACAGGCGCGATGAGTCGCAGGCATTGATTTTATAAACATAAGATTATAAGATCTATTGGAGCAGGACACGTTTTCAAAACACCTAGACATACGATCGCATAAGTTGACCTTATGATTCCTGGTTTTAAATATTGATTAAGTGATGCGGGAGTATAATTTAAATTTTATCAAAAAATTTCATTCACAATGGTTGGTATCCCTTGAATATCATAAATTTTTAACATTGTCAAGTATATTTTTTAAATACTAGAAATTTTTTGGAGATATGTGTGCAGTGCTCATTTTGTTTGAGGGTAGGTTTGCCCATGCTTATAATAACATCATTTCATAAAAATAATATTTATAATCAAAATATAACTGAGAAGGTAAAGATCAATAGTTAGCAGTAAAAAGATAAAAATCTGTAAAAAAATGTGTTAAAAATCATTCAGAAAATATATTTTTGCTTATTCACTTATTATGACCGCTTAATTAATCAAAAACTAAAATAATATTAATAATTTTTTCATGTTTTTTTTAATTCAATGCTCCCAATTTTTCCAAAAACCATTTACTTATTTTTATGTTTATTCCTTGTAAATTATAAGGGTGGCATTTATTTTAAAATAGCAATACACAAAATTAACTAACTTGTACAATAAATACCGTATCTCTATTGATAAAAACTTATGAGCTAGTATTTAAAAAATTATTGACATAAAGCGTATTACTGAGACATGTATTTATAAAAAATAGAAGTACTCAATATTCATCTCCAATCACAATTCTAAGTTGTTAATAACTTCCAAAATACTGGTCAATTTCTATCATTTTCTTAATTAGATCATTATCTATCAAATAAGCTAGTTAATTATGGGTGTTATTATTTGAGAAATTAAAGAGGACATTTTTATAAGGTATAATAGATGCACATAAATAAAAATTTTGATTTTGGGAAAAATGGAGAGAAACATTGAACTAAAAGAAACATATAAACAATTATTAAATTTATTTTAATGTTTTGATTAATTATGTAGTTCACGATAAGTGAATAACCCTTTATAAAGAGTGTGTCAGTATACAAAGAAATGGGTTTCTATTGTTCTCATTGTTTGTAACAATTGACCGTTTCATTACTTTTTGAATACCTATATTTAATTTAATAGATTATTGGAAAAATATAGAATTAATAGAACATTAAAAATACAAATGCGATTTTATCTTTGTTTTATTTCGATATTATTCATTCCTCTTACACAAATAACCAACGTGCTGAATTCTGTTAAAATATATCATTTAAAATAAATTAGATAATTATTGATAGATATTTTAACACTCATCAAATACTAATTCGATTTTCAAACATTACTTTTGCTACTTACAACTTGTTAGTAGAAGTTGTAGAAATCTTAGATCATATTTTTTGTAAAACTTATAAATTTAAAATATATTACCATAACACATATTATATGTTTTTATTTTATTAACATTATATTATAATAAATAATTGTCTAATAAACGTTTTTTTCAGCCATTATATTACAGAATTAAATAATTAAAAATTATAATTTTTATGATTCTCATATCGGGTAGCTAAGATTTCATTATAAAGAGGGCATAGTAAAAATATCTACGAAGGTCCATATATTACCATTTTTTTTTTTTCATCTTTTTATAAAGATGAATATTGATGTCAATAAGGGGCTGCACCCTTTAACCCTCTGGATACTGCACTGGATTTCCATAATAACAATTCAACTATTTTATTGACATTTTATAATTTAATAATGTTCCTAAAGCTACAATTTTCATATTTAAAAATCATTAGTAACTAAATTTACACAAATGTGACGAACAAAACAATTATTGTTTTATCTTAAATAATACTTTAATTAAAAGCGTTTTGACCTATACTCACATTGGCCTATTTTTCTGTACATAGAAATAGGTGTCATTAGGTCTAACACGTTTTGTTGATAAATTACTATTTGAATCATCTGTGTAAATGATTACGTTATTACGTTTCTCTTTGAAAAGGATTCTTCATTATTGCATTAATATTATCGCTAAATTAATTAATAACCATATAAAATTTCATATTAGTTCCAATGCATTATGATTTCAACAATGATATTTTGCGATTATTTATTGTACATTAGATGAATAATAATTTCCTGGCATTGAACTTCTCGACAAAAGTTTGAACTATGTTTTGACTTAAAATATACGAGTATATTTATAGATAATAATATAAAAACATTTGTGTAATATCATCCACTGCAAACACATAATACGTTGATGGTAATCAAATCTAGTTGATCATGACATCAAACGGTTTACTTTAATGTTAAAAAAAAGATTTTAATAATTTATTTAGATTTAACACAGTTAAAATTTATTTTTATGGTGGTCGTTATTTTTTTTCAAAAATTTCAGAAAAAAAATAAAAATTAGTTGTATCAGATTATCAATCATATTATTTACTTTTAAAAATAACGCCGGGAAGTATTTTAAAGATTATATTTCTGATGAAAATATTTGTTAAGAATTTATTTTGAATGAACTTTATATACATTGATAAGGAAAATATTAGTCGGTAAAATTACTTCTAAACAATACTAATCGTAAAAATAAAATTCGGTACCAAATCGACCTTGAAAATATATTATTATTGTATAATATATATTATAATAGGATTATAATATTGTTTAAGAATAAGTAGAAGTAAGACAGAGTATATAGAGTACGAGTTTGACAAAGGAGAACACGAGGTAGGTGACATGAGGAGGTCAGAGACAATAGGCGAGGATGTGATTGGAAAGATTGAGAGTTTTAAGTATTTAGGGTCAATTGTGCAAAAGAGTGGTGGTATTGACGAGGATGTAAGACATAGAATTAAGTGCGGGTGGTTAAAGTGGAGAGAAGCATCTGGCGTCTTATGCGATAAAAGAATTCCAATGAGGCTGAAAGGTAAATTCTACAAGACTGTAGTGAGGCCAGCTATAATGTATGGTTCAGAGTGTTGGGTAGTTGATAAGAAAATAGAGCAGAGAATGAGTATAGCAGAGATGAGAATGCTTAGATGGATGAGTGGAGTGACTAGAAAATATAGAATAAGTAACGAGTATATAAGAAAGAATATAGGTGTAGCGTCAATCGTGGATAAGATGAGAGAAAATAAACTTAGATTANATATAGAATAAGTAACGAGTATATAAGAAAGAATATAGGTGTAGCGTCAATCGTGGATAAGATGAGAGAAAATAAACTTAGATGGTTTGTTCATGTTATAAGGAGAGAAGAATCGAATCTGTAAGAACAGTTATAGAAATGAATGTTGAAGGAAGAAGAGGTAGAGGAAGACCAAAAAAGAGATGGAGGGATGCTATTGAATGCGATTTGAGGACAGCTGATGTGGGAGATCGTGTCAAGTGGAAGTTTAGGATAAGGGTGGCCGACCCCAAGTAGTTGGGATTAAGGCGAGGAAGAAGAAGAAGATATTATATAATAGAACAAGAAATAAAACGCTTTTCTGGGAAAATTACTTAGCATGCTCCGATTTTCAAAATGTTTTTTTTCAAGGAAAGTACTCGAGTACTCGGAGTCACGAGACTCCGGGAAAATTTTTGCCGCTCACTCGATCACGTTTTAAATATTTTTATGCATACACAAAAAAATAAAGAAATTGTTGAAGCATTCTAGCCTGTAAATAAAGAGAGTTACCTCAATTTCCAAATACAAATGACGTCCTATTTATTTGTTCAATATATCATTTGTTCAAGCATATCTAGGACTTGTGCAATATTATATGGGTATCAAAAATTAGGAGGACTTCAACCGCCGTAGACTCATATTTCTAGTTATGCCCATGTATTTTAAAGAAACGCCAATATTATTCATATTTGATGTACACTTACAAAGATAATTAAATTCTATTGTTAATTTTTTTCCAATTATTAAAAGTTCGAAAAATTATTTTCAAAACCATGCATTCATTTTATATTTTATACAGTCTAATAAATATTAACTGTGAGCGGTAATTTATGAAAGAGCCCTGTCTAATGATTGTTGGTAAATAAAATATCACCTATACCATATTACTTATTATTTTATTAATTCAAAAATAAAACTTTTTTTAATAAATTATCACTTAGTTCAAAAAACTAAAGAACCTTTGAAATAAATGTTTAGCTTCTGCCATCATTTATTAATGATGGAGTTACAAATGAGGTTATTAACAATATTTTTTATGAATTAATTACAATGAAGATGAAAAAATTTCTTGCTCTAATTTATTTTTATGATTTAATTTGGTAGACTCTGAGTTAAACAAGATAAACCTTAAAACTGAAAAATAAATATTTAAATAATTATAAAAAAATATATATAATTATATAAAATTTGTATTCTTACGTTAATTTATTCATTTTATAGAAGTTTCATTATATACCGTAAAATAAGTCTATATCCTCCTCATTACACCAAAATAAAAATATCTAATACATTATTTGTTTAAATTTTCACGTAACCCAACGCGTATTGAAAGTTTTTAACACAAAAAAAAAATTGAAAAAAATGTTGTATGACGACTTGAAGAAACGTAAATGTGTTTTTTGGTTTATACAGATTTGAATATTTAAAAAAATATATAATTAAAAATAATTATTTTCAAAGTGTAGTAAAATGTAAAATTAAAACTATATTAAAAATATTATTAATTTAAAAAACTAAAAAATATTAAACTCAAAGCCACAAAAAATTAATATATTTTAAGTATGTGTTTAACGTTGATAATGGTAACATTGTTTCCGAAATACGGAAGTACGTATCCGCGACTTTTCATTAATTTTTTGTGGCTTTGAGTTTAATATTTTTAATATTTTTTAGTTTTTAAAATTAATAATATTTTTAATACAGTTTTAATTTTACTTAATTAATTAGCCACAAGTGATCAATTTTTATTATGTAGTAAAATGGTTCATTAATTAAAATAATTAATAAAATTAATTACACAAACATAAAATTAATCTACAGTTCATTTTTGTAATCATGCAAAAAATATTATCTCTTACAGTAATTATCAATTTTATTAATTTTTAACTAAAAAAATTGCATTCACTAAATTAATACTAATTATAAGGATTGCTAACTTTTTATAATTAAAACAATAGTTATTATTGTAAATTAAAAAAGTATATATACTAGTGTATACATTTATTAAATATTCATTCGTTTGAAGAACATTGTTGAAGGACAATAAAAATGAAATTTTTGTGTCTTACTGTTAGTGCCTTTGTGGCTCTCACCATAACTGAAGCTAGTAAGTCATTTTAACTATATTAGTACTCAATCATAAATACAATGTAATTTATAAATTATTGTTTTTTCATGAAATAATAATTTTATTTATACGTCTAAAATAAAGTTTCACTATTTAATAATAATTAATTGTAAATTTATATTTTATAATGAATTATTATAGATAAATTTAAAACTATTATGGCAAAGCTAAAAAAAAAAAAAATACAGTTAAATAGAGATAAAAACTCAAATAAAGTTGCAAGTTTCTTCATAAGCAGCTCTAATATTCTCATTGGAGTATATTTGAAATAACACTTTAGTATATAATTTCATAAAGCAATATTAGTTAAAATAATTATTTTTTGTGTGTGTTATTAATTTTAATAACATATTTAATCCATATTTCAATGACTTTCATGATTTATATAATTGTAAATTTTTTAGTTGCAAATAAATTCTAATTTAAATTAAACTGAAAGCAAATACTCTTATTGAAATCATTAAACTATTTTCAAATTATCATAAAAACAATTATAAAAATTTCATTTATCAGATTTCCATAATGTTTTTAAAACTAATGGTCAAAAAAATTTCTATTTTAGATATTTTTAAATTATAAATTTCTAACTTACAACACTAAATACAACTGAATAATTTTAGATTTACTGGAAAATGAAAATGAACGTCTAAACGGCCAATTGAACCAAAAATATAACGATGGACTTTTAAACTTTAGCAATAAAAACTGGTACAACCAACGTCGTAATCAAAAATATAATGTTGACAACAGCCTCAAACCTGAACACAATATGCGAACCGGTCAATTGTTTCACGAACAACTAAATCAACAAAGAAAACACCAACAACACTCTGGATTTACCTCTGATGTAAGCTCCGGATCAATGTCATACGAATCCAACTCTAAAGAAGAATTCGTGCAAATGACAGAAACTAATCAAAATGAAGTTATTCTTATTGGAACCACCTGTGCCAAAAAAATGATAAAATTCTTTAACATTGTTAAAATAAACATCAACAGCAACGGTCAAATCCAAAACCGTTGGTCTAACGAACCCGTCGAATTACAACAAGTCACCGTACCTTTACCAAACCATCAATTCTTGAACATGAACGAAAACAAAATCAACGGTCTTCACCAAGGAACCATCAAGTCCATAAAACTGAACACTGAAAATAACTACGTGAGTATTAAATGATTACATTTAAATAAAACTATATTTTTATTATAATTTTTAACTATATAGGTCGATGTTGACTACCATTTCGACGACTTGTTAGTTAACGGAAATCTTAAAACTAACAACGGTCAAAGAGAAAGATTCCAAGTTAAAATGTTGAACACCGATGTCACTGTTTCAACTGAATTGTACAACAAGAATCTCAAGACCGTTGACACCTTCAACGAAAAATTGGAAATGAGCATGGAAAATTCATCTTTGTTGGAAAGAGAACAAATCTTGAACGAAAACACCGAAGCTTTGTACTTGCGTCACTTGAAGAGAACCATAGAAAACCAAATGGTAGAAAACACATACAACGGTATGATTGAAAATATGATCATAGAAGCACAAAAAGAAATCATATTCCCCTTGGAAACCAAAAATTTGGAAATTCTCAACAAGATATCTGGTCTCAAGATTTATCTTGTTGGACCTAAAAATTGGAGAGAAATTGAGTCTAATATTGCTAAAAAAATTTCATCTGTTACTGTTCGACCAATCAAATCAGGAAACGGATTTAGAGTTAAGGTCAACATTGTTTTAGCCAAACAACCATCATGGGAAAGCGATATCAAAGTTCAAAAAGGTGAACAACAAACCACCTTCAGAAACGTTCAATTCCAAGCCAACGAAATCGTTGCCACGGCTACAATGGAGGGAGTCAAACAATTTATGGGAGAACTTCAATTCCGCGTTGTTGATGTCAATGTCATCTTCGATGGTCTCACTTTTATTGTATCTGAAAACCATACTTTGTCTACTGAAGTTCAAAATAACCTTAAAAATATGATGGAGACTTTCATGCGTAATGTTATTAAGGAACAATTGATAAATGAACATATACATAACGCTACTCATTAATTGTTCAAAGACTAAAAAATATTTTAAGACTTTAAGAAATGCAATTTATATTAAATTATAATTTCATGATATATAATATATTTAATTACAAAAATGTTATTTTTATTCAATTTTGTATTAATATATTACTTCTGAAGTTTAAAAATATAAATAAATAGATCCTGAATGATATATTATACATATTTGTATTATTTAAACAATTTGGTTTCAACAAAAAAATAACGTAATAATAACAAAGTTAAAATTAGTTAATTTATATTCTATGTAATAGTCATATGTGAATTGTTACTTAAAATATGTCTACTGTTTTGATGCTTAAATATTATATACAGCTCACTCCCAGAAATCCTAATGTGGTTCGAGCTCCCCTTTTCCGTAATTGATATGATTTCAACCTAATGTTTTAGTGAAATTGGTACACTTAGAAGGTTTTCCAACATGAAAATAAGGCAATGAAAAAATATATGTATTATAAAATTCTATTTGTATTAAATTTTTTAGCTCTTCTTTTGAAAACATTTTATCAATAAACACTTACCATATTACTAATTACGGTTGAATTACGTGACTTTTGTCATAAATGCTATTTTATATTGATAAAAACTGAAATGTATACTAATAGATTTGGTATTTAGAATTGTATAACTGTAACTAGCAATATAATTTATTATGTACATGCAGCAGTTGAAAAATATTATAATATGTTACATTGATTCATTTATGGTGCAATATTAATGTATAAAAACTTTATATTTTTACAATTTTTGAACATTTTTTTTAAATTGAGCTGTAAATACAATTTTCTATTTTTTTAAAGTGGTAATTTAAAGTTTGATGGTCCTGCGTATCATCTAGAACCTCTATGGTTGCGTTTTTGGTTGAAAATAAATTAACAATGAATCGGTTAAAATTAAATTTGTATATAATAATAACTAATGATAGTAATAATTGTGTTCGTAATTTTATATAAAATAAAATCAAATATTTGTTAAAAATATATCATCAATACATATTAACAATATATCACTATCATTAATCATGTTTAATGCCCTTTCTAAAAACTATTGCTTGTGCCAGAGAGAACTGAAAAACCTACACAGCTCAACACAACGGAATCAAACCTTGGTACCAACGCATCGAGGTACGATCTGTTATCGACTTGGTTAAGTAGGCTACCATTTACATATTATACTTTTTTTATTTTAATCAATTTTTACAATATAGAACGATATTTAAAATATGTTTTATGTTATTTTTTGCAATTACAAAAAATATTTTAAAAATGAATTTTTTTAGATTTTAATATAGCCATTTTATAGATAAGTTTTTAAGAAAAATGTTGATACCAAAAACTCTTATTTTAATTCAGTAGTTACGTTTATACAGCATTTTGAAGTTTGTTAAATTTTGATTTTTTTTACAATTTTCCTATGATATCAAATGTTAGTCCATATTATGTAAAGTGCAGAAGTAAACACTTATTACATTATTTACTGGTAACAGTATGCTATTTCTTTTCCATGAAAATTATTTTATAATAAATATATTTTGCATAGTTTGAATTTTATTAATCCAAGACTTACAAATACAGTCCTATAATTGGATATCGTAGGACCATAATGGATTTAAAATAGCTATATAAATTAATCTTTTTTTTTTTTATATAGTTGTGATCTCCGACTAATTAACAAAAACATATTATTTATTTTATGTTTTATTTGTTTTAGTTTAGGATCTTAAAAGCATGCTCAAATATTTAGTAAACTTTTCTTGTGGAATTATTTTACCAGCAAGCATAATATAATTGGGTTTGGTTACTCTAGTCATAAAATTCATGTGTATTGATTTTAAACTATTTAATAGAGTTTTCTATCTTTGTGACCATAAGAGACACCGTTAACATTTTCTTGCAAATATTTTGTGGCGATCGAAAGGTCTTTGTCACATGATAATGCCGTGTTGTCAGCAAACATATCTGTTGTTGTTTTATTATTGGTTGGAATATTAGCAATAAAAAACGGTAGCACAGTGAGATCGAGGCACAGTGTGGACGAGGCATAGATGGGACGAGTATTGATGATATCTGACAGTGAATAAAAATACTATCATAAGAAACTCTTCGACTCAAATTTGTGGATAGTGTTTAATTCTAAGAAATTGGTGAATGATTAAAAAAGCAACATCAACTCTTATTTCCTTAATTATATTATATTAGCAGGTACACAGCATTGTTATTATCAATGGTAGTAAGGCACATTGTTGTGAGTTTATAAATACACTATCTGACAATACAGAAAGTATATCTATTATAGTCATAATTGATAATGAACAATCTGTGACTGTGACAGCAATGTCATAAAAAACCAATTAGCTACCTGTAAATTTAATCACTAGTGTATTATACATTTATATTAACTCAAAAATTTGAAACTTTAAGTGTATATATCTAATAAACGAATAAAGTTATATTAAAAATTCAAATGCCATTTGCTATTAAATTAAAAACTCAAAAATTTTATTAAATTCAAAATATGTGTTCTCATTTAAAAAAACTCAAGTTAATGTTTTTTAACCTTGAAGGGATGAAAAATATCATGTTTTTAATACATATTATGGTAGTGTTTTTTGAATCAAACAATATTTTACTTACCAAAAATTAAAAATTTTCAATAGTTACTGAGTAAATGAGTGTCTTATCCTTAATGAATCACTCTGTATATATAAATGTTGGTATTTTCGGAACATTTTCAATTTTTTTTTTTATTTAGTCATGTACTCTACATGACATAAGCTTTAATTTGAAATATGTTTAAAGTACACAGTATTTCCGATACACTTTTAAAAGGTAAGTTGAAAAAGATAATTTTTGTGAAGAAGTTGCCATTTTGAAACCTTTCCTGTGGGCTGGTAAAGGGTCAAATGTACACAAAATATATCAAATGATAGATAAATACCTAAGGTATCTATAAAAAAAAATTATATTGATTTGGTCATTTTTAAAAATGTTATAGTAGTTTTAAGTAAAAAAAATTTCCAAAATTTCCAAAATTAGCCATTTTTAAATTTGTTATTTTTTTGAGGGAATTCCCTTGTTTACGGAGAACGAGGGAACTTATTTCTATTTTTTAGGGTAAAGTTTTCGACTAGATATAATTTGTGATATTTTGACGTATTGTTCATCAAAATAGATCAAACATGAGCTAAGATTGAGCGTTCACAGACACAAAAAAAAATAACACATCATAGTAAAATTAATACCTTCTCAGCTTCGCTTCGAAGCTAAAATTAAATAGAGAATATGCTTTAATAACTATCCATACAGTTATAGCTTTTATCACACCATGTACGAGACTAATGTATTTTTCAATTTGAACAGTAGGCCTTCATATCAAATTCATTCAAAGGCCTGGATCAAAATATATAAAGAAATTATGAATATGATGAGTTAGAGAAACCAAATTTAATTTCTTTATGTTAAACTTGTCACGGACTAAAATAAAAAATAATGTTTAAAATTTTAAATTCTAACTTCTAAAATTAATTGTATAATAATCAATATTAAAAACAAATATTTATCAAAAAATTGTAATAATTCATTCTAATTAAAATAATCAGTTATTTAGCAACCATGAAATTGATTCGATACCAATAATTTAATCAATTACTGTAAAATTGAATACAATTTTTGATTAATATTTCATGTTTTTATCGTATTTATATCTTTTCTTACAATAATCAATTAATAAATCTATAATTTTAGACCATTAATTCAGTAAAATAATTGATTTAATTTTTAATTTTTTAATTAGGTACTATTTATATCGTCAATCTCTTAGTAAATACGCTTATATTGATTTTTTTAAATTATTAAGAAGCTAGAAATGAATACACTATTGTTGTATAATTAATTCGGAAATTATATTTTTAATTGTCTAAAATCACAAGAAAAATTATATTTTAAAATTTTTAATTCTAAAAAAGATTACAATTTATGTCTTCAATTCTTGTAAGTTTACTAAAAAAAAATAACAAAATGTGAAGTTTTGCCATTAAGATGACGCTTTATATGACATTTTTTATTAGTTGAGTAAAAATAAAATGTCATTTTAAATTAAATCGATTATTCAATAACTAATGAAAAACTTTTATGTATGTATTTTTTTTTTAAAGCTAGGTGCACAATATTACCAAAAATCTTAAGTAATACCAAGCATCACTTTTGAAATAACGGATACATAGTATAAATTAATCTGATTTTTATAAATTTATAAATTTATACTTTATTAATAAAAAAATTCATTGCATTTTTTAAAATAACAAATTAATTTTTAATGGTTTAAGGTCGTCTTTTATTCTAAAGCGCAGGAAATAGTTATAATAGAAGTTTGATATTTTTGACAGCTGATTAGATTTTCTAATTCAAATAAAAAAGTAGTCGTTGGTGTCCAGTAAATGATTTTAATTAATTTAAATTTTTATTACTTTCCACTATACCTTCGATCACATATATCACTTATTTATAATATTATTGTGCAAAATATTCGTTGAGTCTAAAGTTCAAAACTTTGACTATGCATAACAAAAAATGTTATCAATAAAGTACTTTAAATCATCAATGCATTATCATTAACAACTCATCAAAAATGAAAAATAATAGTATATAAAACCGCAAAATGCCTTCAAAAAATCATTCATTCACTTGTTGCGAGTATTGAACAACATACAATGAAATTTTTGTGCCTTTTCGCCGGTGCCTTATTGGCCGCCGCTATCGTTGAAGCCTGTAAGTATAAATTATTAAACTCATAAACATATATTTATATATGATGAATTCTAGTAATAGAAATTAATAAATGAATCAAAAATATTAATTTAAAACTAGAAAATATAAAAATATATGTAACTCAAATGCTAAATTAAAGTATAATTATTCAAAATTATTATAATTAAATTTTTTTTTAGTATTTTTCATTATGATGTTAATCTAAAGATTAATGTAGTATTTTTAATTTTTATAATAAATACAGCTAATTTTAACGAACGTTATTATTTTCTATATAACTAGTTTTAATAATATTTCAGACACCCGTGACATCGAAAACGTTCGCCCAACTGAACAATGGAACCAACACAACAATGGTCGTTTGAACTTCAACGACAAGAACTGGTACAACCAAG